AACATGACACACTGAATAGGAAAAATGCACCTGTGACCCCTCTGTGTGCCCCTGAGGTCATCTCAGGTCATGAACGGTCGCCAGCAGTTTTTTGGCTATAACTTTTGATAGAGACGTGCTAGAGCGGTGAAAACACGTCAGATGTGTTCAGCTCGACGATACGGATCGACTGATATGCAACATGACCCTTTTCGGTCAGGTCATGACCTTGACCTGAGGTCAAATTTTCAAAATGACCTTTCAAGGTCAACAAATAGTTCATTCGACGCGTCTCGACGAGAGGAACACGATGCTGGCAAAAGTAATGTCATGGCGCTTATGAGTCAAAAGTTATTGACGAAAAAACGTTTTTCGTAAAAACGGCTATTTTTGGAGTTTTTGCCCTCTGGAGGCTAAACCGTTGACCTGAGGTCAAATCTGAGAACATTACTCAGAAAGGTCTGTAAAAGGGCTATCGAATGCGCTTTTCCGCGGCGCTGTAGCTCTATCGGTTCCCGAGATAGCCGTTGGCAGTTTCCAAAATGTTGAAATAGTCAACATTTTACCTTTGGTGACCTCTGGTGACCTGACCTTTGACCTGACCCAAAAAATGACCGAAGTGTTTTCGTCCTTATTTTTGACGCTCTTTCGATTGCCGCTTACCGCGTGTCGCTACGTGGCCCAGGAGCCGAGTTAGACGGGGGGCGTGAAAACGCCCCCCCCCCCCAGCACTCGGCGGAAAGTTCAGGCCACCAGCACGGCGCGGGTTAAGTGACCTGGTCACGCGGGGGGAGGGTGTTGAGGATTGTTATGACGAGGATCCTGGCAGTTTAGTTCACGCGCGCGCGCCGAATTGAAAGACCGAAATAAGAACGGATAATGAATGACGAGAATGACTTGGAACTTGGGATTGATTTGAATTGATTAGAATGAAGTAAGAGAGAAGACCTTGCGAAGCAGTGAACTGATTTCTGAACTAGATTGATATGAGAATAACTAGTGAACTGAATGAATTGAGCAATTTGCGGTTATACATACACACGTTTTCTATTCGGCTGACTTTCATTCCATCACAACTCCCATGTATAAGGGTGGATGTCAAGGTCACCTGAAGCTCAGATCAGGTCATTGACCTTTGGTGACCTCGGTTCTCTTTTTAGAGTTTTACATGTTTCTAGGCTAGTTTTTTTGGAGCTGAATTCGAATTTAGCAACTATTTGAACCTTCACGAAGTAGTTTTGGTGCCTTCGTAACATGTTACGAAGCTGTCAGAGGTGGTTGACACGTAGGGGAGAGTGGGGCACATTCGTGCAAAAAAATGGATAAATCCATATATCTGTTCGTCGGCTAGTGCAATGGCAAAATTGTTGATTATAGTATGGAAAGGAACTATTGCAGATATTTTTCCTCTTTAAAAGTTATCCTCTAAAGTTATCGCTTCTATTAGAAAAAGTGACTTTTAACCCGCGCCCCGTTGGGCTCTGCCGAGCAACGCGCCCCGTTGGGGGGGGGGCCATTTTGGCCCCCCCCTTAGATCTCGAGAACCACGCAACCTAGCGACAAGCGGCAAACGGTGTTGGATAGCCCTATCAGGGAACTACCTTGTGACCCAATTTTATTAACCTAGGTCAAACCGATGACGTCACAGGTCAGGTCAAAGGTCCAATTTTCACCGTTTATAGGCATTTCAAGAAATGCGTTGTAAAATCGAGTAAAATGCATTTCATTGAAAATCATCGATGGGGAAATGTTCTTCAAACACATATTTTGCTATTTGAGGTCACTGATACCAGGTCAGGTCACAGAGGTCAGGTCACTGGGGGGTCACAATATGAAAGTGTCGTGTGATACATGTTTTATGGTCCATTTCACATGACAAATGCGATTATGTGGGTCAGGCAGCCTTTGGGGCCAGCCTAGGTCACGTTTTGGTCAAGGTCAGGTCAAGGTCAGGTCAAGGTCAGGTCAAATTAGGTCAAATTTCAAAGTTGATATTTTTGCATAAAATGGGTATCGAATCGATGCAGCTCGTCACGGGGAGTTCAATGGTGGTCTTTGTTTTGCCGTACGTGGTCTAGAATCGCTAAAAATTGAGTTCAAAAATTTGACGTCATCATTTTTGAACAGTTTTTTTGCTATAACTTGGCCAAAAAACGAGATATCGATCTGAAATTTGGTATGTATATAGAAGAGCGAAGGGACTATCACATATATTCCGGTTTTTTTCGAAATTCGGAAAAATTTTGGATTTTTTTTTAGTTTTTCTAAAAAAATCAATTTTTTGAATTTTTGGGGGTCAAAAACCCAAAATTTTGAAAATCCGAGATAGCAGTTTTGTAGCGCCGCTTTTTGTCTACTAGACCATATAAAGAACTTTGAAATTGCTTGATAACTGTAGATTTGGTGAGCGTTTCAAGATTGCATGTTTTTTGCTCATTTTTGCTCGAACATGACCTCAGTTTGACCTCAATAACTCCTGACCTAAGGTGACCTAAGACTTGAAATTTTGTGTAAAGGTGTCAAATTGATGCCCGGGAAGGTACTGAAAATTTGGCGGCGCTGCGCGCCGCCGTTTTCTTGCTATTCAGGAAAAACCACAGGGGGGGGCCAAAATGGCCCCCCCCCAACGGGGCGAGGGTTAATTACTCTGAACTTTTGCACGAAACTGCCCCAGGTATGGGGCACATTCGTGCAAGGGGTGGGGCACTTCCGTGCACCCTGCAAAGTTCGAGGAATTACCGGGCATTGCCAGAAATTTACCAAAAGAAATTGGCAGGGGGTCCTTTCACTAGATTCCTTTCGACAAGAATGCATTGCACAACATATGTAGAAAGAATGGGCTGGCCAACAAGAATGTGCCAACTGCCGGCCATCGACCCGCCTCCGTGACCTCTCCAAGGTCACGTGAATTACTTGTCACGACGTCGCAAGCAGCCGAGACTGAGTCAGGCGAGCGTCACTACTACAGATAAAGTCATAAATAGCCAGTGGCGGATCCAGGGGGGGGGGGGGGGGCAAAATGGGCATTTGCCCCCCCAAACGGCATGATTTTAACATTACGCCTATGGACGATGCATGGAAAGAATCGATAAATTTTTATGGTTTGCCCCCCCCCCCCAAACCTCTGAGCTGGATCCGCCTCTGTAAATAGGAAAAACAAAAAAAAATATGGAGGAATGTGCCCCTAGGCAGTGCGTACACGAACCTGCCCCACAACGTTATTTGTAATATATTTCAAAATTTCTTATTGAAAAAATGATAGTTTTTCAACAAACAAGTTTGCAGCAGTTCCGTGAATAAAGTGAGCTTCTTCGCCCCCAATTTTGAAAAGTTAAACCACATTTCCGAGTCAGGATCACGAAAATGAATGATATGAGAAAAGTTTGGAAAGCGCACGAATATTACAAATTTGCGTTTTTATCAAGCATGACAGCAGGAACAGTGCTGTCTTCTACAGTGAGTGAAGGGCGGCAATGATAGACATATTTTCATAATTTACCTTTAGCTCGTGCAGTCACTCGTCTTCCCATAAACTGCAAAAAACGAATGTGCCCCATGCACGAATGTGCCCCACTCTCCCCTACTACGAATACCCGTCACGACCCCTACTGGTTGACCTGACCTGACCTGAGCTGAACTAGTCTAAATGCTTAAAGACAACATCTGTGATCAAAACTAACACGATATTCGTGACCAGTACCCCGAAAAACATTACATATAGCAGCCACACTTTACGACTTTCTAACAGGTCCCGATTTTCCCGAGTATTGGGTCATTGAACTGACCTAGGTCAACCGATGACCTAGGACCTTAAAATTGGGTATCATCGTCTTCCTCTTGTGACGGGCAGCATGCTCGTTTTTTTCGCGAAGCTCTAGCTTAACCCTCGCCCGCACATGGGGGGGGGGGGGTGGTTGCCACCCACCCAGGTAGTCTTTCTGCTCTACACTCAACATTTTTAGAGCTAGAAGGCTGATTTTTCGTATAGCTGCTCCTCTATCCTTTCTTGATGTCCACTGAAAATTTCAAGTTTCTGTGGTTTTTGGTTTCGGAGATATAACCTTGTTTTTCAGGTCATGTCATGACCCAAATGGCCAATTCTCAACATCTTGCGTTGCCTATGGGCCTTGTGAGCTTTGGACACCTTGATTTCGGCCTTTTTTTACCAGTCTTACCTCCCACCAATCATGGAACATGTTGTTCGACGATGTACAGATGTCAAGGTCAAGGTCAAGGTCAACCTAGGTCATCTAAGATAATTGCGTTTTAGGGAAGCGGAATTTACTTTTTGTGAAGTTTTTTGACTGCATTTTTGGTAAAAGCTTCTCAGATCATGATTTCATGTACTCGTAATATGGACCCATAAACAATCGGTGCACACATCAGTATACACACAGACACACACAGACATACAAACACATATAATTGACCTTGACCTAACTTGACCTGAAATGACCTCAGCAGCAAAAATCTGGTCGGGTAGTGTGACAAAGAGGTTCTAGCTGGCTTGGCACCAGAAAACGGCATCGTCATCGGTATATCATAAGCAGCGCACTTGATATCCAACGGTGACCCAAAACAGCAATAGTTTTTAGTTTGACCTGACCTGGAAGGTCAATGAGTGACCTGAGAAGGTAAAACTGGGTATCATTGGATTCGTCTCTTCCCAAAGAATCTTTTTGGTCTTTACCGCTAAGCTCTATCTCCAACAGGAACGAAATGGCGCGGGGGGGTGGCAACCCCCCATGTGCGTTCTAGGATGGGAAAATGGCATGTGCGGGCGAGGGTTAATCAGGGGCCAAACGCGAGGGGAGCGTGTGCCAACGCGAACCTTGTGCAGTTGAAGGACGCAAAATGGCCTGTGCCGGCGAGGGTTAAGTTCTTGAATATTTTCAAATTTGTAAAGCATTACCAACCCGATGATATGTTGTGCTAATTTTTTACCATAATTACAAAGTAGTTTTTTTCAATAAAAAAACAAATTCGCAATGTTTGCACATTGTTTACATACATTTAATTAGGACCTTCGACTCTGCCGGTCTCCCATTTATGTTTACCGTTCGTTGTGTGTCGGTCACCTGCCTCGCGTCAATCAGCCACCCCTCACCCAGAGTGACGGGTCGCGGCGGGCCGGTTCGGGCGCCGTGCGCAGCTCTAGTGAACCGCGCCGGCGCCGAGCGCAGCTCCGGCGGCCGCTCCGGTCCGGTCACCGCGCCTTGTGACCTTTGGCGCTGGCTGGCCGGCCGGCGCTGCTGGCAGGAATAGCAGCGGCGGCGCTGCGGCGGCCGGCAGTCGGTCGGCGGTCGGCGACGTGCCCGGGCGCGGGACGGTGACGGCGGCGAGCGCCACGCACCGACGCACGGACACTCGCTGCACGCGTGCATACACAGCCGGCGCCCATGTCGACGCGAGTGCAGCCGGTGTCGGCGGCCGCCGGCGGGATGAAGAGCAAGGCGCCGCCGGTGCCGCAGGGCAGGCGGGCGGCCGGGTCACCTACGGGACCCACCGGCTCCAACGCCATCCTCAAGGAGGCTGTCGACGCTGTGGTCAGCAGCTTCGCCAAGCACACGCAGGGCTACGGCAGAGGTGAGTTCTACGGCCGGGGTCTAGGATGTTTGCCTAGCATGGCGTTAAACTCCCTTTTGCCTGGTTCGTTTCCTGTGCCCCATCGAAGTCTTCCACGTGATTGGCTCTGGTACAGTTTTATGACCTGCTAGTTTACTACCCGTACTACAAGTGGGGTCGATTTATATATGGGGGGGGGGGAACCATCGAAGGTCAGTTGGGCCACACGCGGGTGTGGGGCGGGGCGGCAGGGGAGACTGCTGGGCGTTTCCACGGCGTCCGACCCCTGGGCGGGCGGGCCGGCTCGGTTTCCGGGTAGGACCGCCGCGGCGCCGGCAGTGTTTTCCCGTGGTCCCAGACCGTCTGTTTCCCGGTGTCGGCCGGGACCGTTCCGCGGAGCACAGAGCGGACCGCAGTCGGTCCCGCGGCGCTCCAGCTGGTCCCCGACCGGTCCGCGGCGCGGCGGCTCCCGGCCGGCCCACCGGCGCATTCCGAGTTACATTCCCGGACGTGTTTGGCGGCGTCACCTGGTTGCTCGCTCTGAGCCGACCGACACCCGCCCCGCTCCCGGTCCGGTCGGGGTCAGCCCGTCTGGGGCGGCCGGCTCCGTCTCAGCAGCGCCGACTGGTTCCGAGGCCGGCCACGGAACTGCCGTGACCTGTTTGCTAGCTGAGGTCGCCGGGTCAGGTCACGAGGAAGGCCGAATCGGCAAGTCACGGCTGAGGATTGCCTTTAACTGGCGGCGGTGCCGTGGAATGACGGCGTGAGAGCTTTGAGAGGTCTCCGGGTGGCAGAGACTGGCGCGATGTGGTGCCGTGAGGTCACGGAGTCACAGACTTGCCAAGTCATGGGCTGGCGCCGCGACGCTGTTGCGATGTTCTTGGCCTCGGTGCAGCCTAGCTTGAGAGAAGAGAATGCCGCTGGGCTGCAGCAGCCTGCAATGTTTTTTTTTCTTCTTCTCGAAAAGCACTGCTCTGTTTGCCATCAGGTGACCAGGTAAGCTGGGGATGGGATTTAAATGTCCAAAGCCCCGGAATCCGGAACTCGAAGCTTTAGAAGCCCTGGACGGTCTTTCTGAGCTCGGATCCGGGAGTTATGGAAGTTCTGAGCAGGGAGCTGCGGCAGTCGGGTGATCCGTCGGCGGACGCTCGGCGGCCGGCCGCTGCAGAGGCGGAATGCCGCCGCTGCAGAGGCGGATCGCCGCCGCCGCCGGCATTGTTGACTGCCTCCGCTGCCGTGCCGGTCAGACTGCTCTGCCGGAGACCGGAGCACCGCGGCGGCCGGCGCACCTCAGCGCGGTGTCGGCCGCCGCGTCTGCCCGGGTCAGGGTCGGGGAGGAGTCGGGTCACTCCTCCGCCCAGAGTCGGAGGCGCGGCTGAGTGGCAGAGGTGGTGCCTCCCGTGTCTCGCGACAGGCGGGTCGGGCGGATACCAGCCTGTCCGGACGGGTGGGAGGCTGCAGGTCCGCAGTGCCCAGCCGCCCATCCCTCTGACTCATCTGGACACGATCGCGACTGACTCAGCACAGCTGCTAGTCTGACTCGCCCATGTGGTGTAATTACTGACTCAATTACTGACTCAGCCCTCCATGTAGTTACAAGCTCGCCCTACCCAGTCGTTCCCGTGCCGGACAACTGTGTGACTCCACATTATCTACTCGCAGTAACTCAGACAAAACCGTGCACCCCGCGAAGTGACTTGTTCTGAAAGCATTCTCCTAGATAATCTAAATTAGTGCGAAAAATTGCTATAATTCAAGGTAGATGCATGGAATGTTAGCAGTTTTCCCCGAGCTAATTGAAGAGTCTGCCCACCTACGGGCGTTGTCGGAACAGATCCGCCACTAATTATGTCGATGCATCACTCGGTCCTTGCTGGCCGTTGCCTGGATCTGGACTGGGATCGCCGCTAAGTAGGCTCCCCGCGGCGGCGGCGGCTGGGCGGCTCGAGCTGGCGGTGGGGTCCGGGCGACCCCAACCGCGCAGGGCAGGTGTTCTCACGGCAGCTGTCCGGTCACCGCTCCACCACCGAGAGTCCACCGAGCGTCCACAGCGTCCACAAACTGTCCACCAGCGTCCACCGTCCGTACTGGACTGAACCGGGCGCCGCCTGCTAGGGGCTGTGTGCAGACATCCACACTATTTAAATCAGCATGCAGCTGCGCCGAAAGATCAGATGCAGCAATTCATCAGCTGCAGCTATGTCAGGAATGCCCGCTATCCGGCTGCTCAAGCGGTCGTCAGTGCGGCTCACGCCCACAATCGACTGCCGAGGTTCGTGCATAACGACTGACCGTGCAGGGCACTGCGCCCGGCCGGCCTGACCCGCCGCGCCGTCGCCGCTGTGTGCCTGCCTGCTGGGACGGCTAGTCGGTCTCGTTTTTACCAAACGATCTGTCATCGACGACTGGATGTTTATGAAATGACGTCGGTATCCGAGCAATGCCGAACTGCAGAGTCTCTCGGCACTGTGTGTTCGGTAAATCGCCGTGTGGACGTTCATACCGGTATGGCCTGATGCTCTCATCCAGTTGATGGGCGGAATATGCACACAAGCCGAGCGAACTCGGAATGCAGGCCCACTTTGCATCGCAGAAAGGCCTGGCTACAGTATGCTGAGCGATAGTCGAGCCGTCAAAACTGGTGATGGCCGCCGCTGATTGTGCAGTATGCACTAACAGTGCAGCGTCACACCTTGCTCCGGAGCATGGACAAAGCTCCATATAGGCGCTGAATGACTTTGCAGCAGCTCTCGTTACTCATGTTTCGGCTGCAGCTGCCCGGTGCTCCGCCCACAAACGGACGGTCGCTATATAGGCCCCCGATCTGGGCCGTCAGAACGGGACTGCGCTCATCTGGGACTCAGCGCCAACGTGCCGTCGAAGTCTGAATATTGACAGGCTGATTCAGGTATCATCAGACTAATGCGGCCATTTATTTTGGCTTTCTATAGTCTGTTCCACATCAAGTTTGCAGTCTGAGTTTCTTCGGCAGATCGCTCCTCCGCTCAAGAATTTGTGTCTTAAAATGTAAGAGCTGTATATAAAGAAATCACGCACTGCTTTCAGCAGGGCACTTCGGCTGCAAACTTGAAACGGAACAGAGTATAGGAATGTAGACTAGACCGGCTGATTCGGAAAGCGGTGAAAAATATGCAGGACACTATTGCCTGTATATATGTGCTGTTTCAACACCAAGCTATGCATCATTGCAACTGGAACGGTATGCAAGTGCATTCCGACATGTTTGTTAAATGAGCCACGATGCATGAAACACATGTGCATTCATGTTTGATAAACCTGAATTCCAAGGGAAATTCCTTACAAGCAAGTGCACTGGTGCTCACCGATGCAGTATTTTCCATCCAAAGCATCCGAGGCGCACCTCATTGACGCGGGCGTCAAGCCGCCATCACCATGCGTCTTTCTCTGACTTCGTCAGCCGGCCCGGCTCCTGAATGGCGCCTTTGGAGTCGGCGCGATCAAAGTGGCCGTCCATTGAGTCGGTCGCTGCCGAGGAGGGGTCTCTCGGCCACTCGGCTGCCGTCTCAGACACCTCTGAGGCGCCAGGTGGCTGGACCGGAGCGCCGCAGGCACCGCGGTCCTCTCACATAGGCGCTGTCTTGGTGGAGAGCGGTGGGATGATGGATCTCCGCCAGGCGTTGAGATGGCGGGGCATGGTCTGTCCCCACCCCCACCCCCCACCCACACATCCGACGGCAAAGGAAAATAGGCAGAGCTACCTCTTTATCCGCATTCCCTCTCCGGATCGTTGAAGGATCCAGAGCGCCAGCCTGCACCTCACACTCCGCGTGCCACGGCTGGCCCACACTCCTTGGCAACAGGTGTCTCTGCGCGCCGGCAGTGGTCTGGCACCGGACCCCGGCGGGGCGGCACGGCGCGCGACATGTCACCCATCTCCGGCGCATCGGTACCACCTGTGCCGGTGACAGCGGGCCCGGAGACCCAGATCGGGCCGCGGCCAGAGCGGGCCTGGGCGGCTGGAGCGCCGCCTCGGTAACGGAGTTCGCGGAAATCGCGCAGCACGAGCAGGCTTAGGACGTTTGTCGTTGCCATGCGATGTGACAGCTACATACTATAAGTACGTTCATGAAGATTAATTAACATCTAATAGCATCAAGAATTCGTAATCCATTTATCAGTTGAGAAATACAGTTGTTTTACAAAAGCCGATCAAGGATGGCCGAGTATGGTGATCCAAAAACACCTGGCGAACAATCAGATTATTCAAAATTAACTATTCTTCAAGGAATTAGGTATTATGTATTTTATGTATTTTAGGTATTTGCCTGTCCCGTAGCTCAGTTGGTAGAGCATTGGACTCCCGGTAGTGAGAGCCCGGGTTCGAGACGCTCCGGCGCTCGATATTTGAGACTCCTGATGGGGATGGTCTGCGGTTGGTGGGAGCAGCCGCAGCCAGTTGAAGTCAGTTGAGTGGGACAGGCCGTGTCCGGCTTTGAAGGGCACGTTAAACTTTGGCATCTAAATTCTCCCGTTACCCGGAATTGCGCGATCGGACGGTAGGGGTCGGGGTCTACGCAACAAGCTCTGCTTAGCGTAGGCTCTGGCTCTGTCAATCCGTCCATTCAAACATTCGAGCTAAATTTATTAAAAAAAAATGTATTCTCTAACAATGCATGCCTGAATATTTTATCTGCAAAACATGTAGGCATGCATGGCAAATTATTTTTGCTTTTTACCCAAAGTTCTGTTTTGATAGTAAGGATTTGAGCACAAAAAAACTGACAGTCCAATGATGCAAGACGTGCAGGACAGCATGGTTTTATTGTAAATAGGGCACCTGTCATTGATGCGTTTTCTGTTCAAAGCACGCAGCGCGAAGCAGAAGCACGATCTCATAAACCAATTGCACGCAAAAGAAAGAAGTTGTCACTGTGATCATCCTTTGTAAACGAGTGTACATGCTTGTTGGTTTGACAACTCGTTACGGGTACTTGTTGAAGACGTATTACGTACGGTATGTCTACCTCTGCACCTATCGT